GGGAGGCTCTGCTGAGCTGGCAGCTTTGGAGCGGCTCCGGCTGCTCCCCAGGACCCTCTGGGGTTCTGGGATTAACCCCCCAGTGTGGCAATCCTGGGTGCAGCAGGAAAAGGGGCTGCTCCAGAAGGTCAGGATTTGCTGTGTGAACCTCACGTGCAGCCCTTATTGAATGTGCACAGACCCCAGACTTCAAATTGCTTTGTTTCAGGGTCTGAATATCCATTCCTTTTGCTGTGGTTGTAGCAGGAGCGGTGGCTGTTTCAGATGAGGCTTGCCCATGGGTTCTGGTGCTCTGGGGTTGGTTGTGCCTCGTGTGGAGTGGGAGTTTTTACAAGGGAGAGGGGTTGGTATCAGTGTAGAGCAGGTCCATGGAGATCAGAACGGTGCTGGGTCAACGCCTGGCTCTGCAAGCACTCCAAAAATTGCCTTTTTTCCTCCTGCAATGTTCTAGATTGAACCCAAAGCCTGAGCCAAGGTCTTTTTTTCACCGATGTCTCTTTCCTCATTTGACTTCATCGGCTGCGTGTGCTCTGGCGTTGTACCCCGAGGAAAACCTGATTGAATTCAGGATCTCCCTTTGTCCCTGAAGGCAAAATCCCTGCACGTTCCCTCCTGCGCTGCGTCACGTTGGCTCCTGACGCTGCTGAGCCCGCGGCCGATGGCAGCAGCAGCTGATTCCCAGATGTTGTCACGTACTTTGGCGGCAGCCGAAATGTGCCAATTAAAGCAGGGTCTGGCCAGGAGAGCGGCTGCTGACGCAAAACCATGAATCAGCCTCTCTTATCTTGGGAGATAAGAATGTGGATTTGTTTGGGTTTTGGGAAAGGAGAGAGGAAGCGGAAAGGACGTTTAGGTGGAAAACTGAAGAGGGAGGGAGATGCTGCTTTTAGATGGGGCTGATAGGATGCAGGAGTTTCAGAAGGCCGGGTTCACAGAGGGATCAGTAAATGTCAGGGACAAGAGCAGAACGTTTCTGAGGAAAGGCAATTAATTTATCTGTAATTTGACAGCAGCAGCGTCCCCAGGCAGCGCGGTGCAGAAATAAGAACAGTCCCTGCCGCAGCGCTCGCAGGGCTGCCTGTGCGAGGGGTGGCCACAGGGGAATGATCCTCTCTGTAGGGACTGGTTTGTATTTAATTTGGAAAAAAAGGAGACACTCCTGGGAAAGCAAAAAGGTGCTTTGGCTGCTGGAAAAGTGTAGATCCAGACAACTGCGTTCTCTGAGCTGACACACTGCATTCTGAGCGTGGTTTTCCTCAAGCGTAAGTCTCTGGATGCTCGCGTGTCTATCAGTTGTCTCGCTGTGGTGTAGCTCATAGCCGGGCTTCAAGTTTCTCATGCAGAACAGAGAAATGTTACATTTATTTGAAGAAACTGGAAAATTTTACTGCGGACACTTTGTTTATCTGAGCCTGGTCCACAGGATAGCAGTGGTTGCTCCTCTGGTGTGGGTTTGAGCATCATCGGTGCTGTCAGCTTTCATTTGTTAAAGAATTATGTAAAGAGGAAGTTTTGCTTCCAAACGGAGCTGATGCCCGTGTGCTGCTGCTCCAGCGCCTCTGTGCTGCTGCATTAACAGCATCTTCCCAAATTTCACCCCACTTGTGCCACACTGTGGTCCTGCCCGCGTGGTTTGCAGGGCTGGTTTGGCTCCAGTGCTGCCAAACCCCCAGCTCTGCTCCTCGGTTCCCCTTCCCTAAAATCACGGGGGTCTGAGGAGCACGGATGGGCTCGCTGCGGTGGTGAGGGTGAAAGGAAAACGCCTGGGAAGAAGTTTCTGGTTCTGGAGCAGGACTTGGAATGACAAACACGGCGCTGATGAGCGAGGACAGCGCAGAACAGATACCTCCTTTATTGAGCATCGTCCGTTCTGGGCACTCACAGGGCAGCTGCCTTGGGGAGAAAAATAGCATTTCCACGGCTCGATGGGGTGGTGGTGTGCACAGAAGCTCTGGAGAAAGATCAGGCACTCGGATTTTAGGCTTTCCTCTAGTCTGAGTGCTTGAATTCATGTATCCTCAGTGATGTTGCTGTTGTAGGGTGTATTTATACGATTATGTACCTAATTTAATATTACAAAGATGCTGGGAGGACATCTGCAAATGTTATTCTGGAGTCCTCTGGCCTGAGCTGCCAGCAGTCCCAGAGAAATTCCCCCCAGTGTATTATTTATAAACACAAAGACCCACGTTGAGTAAATCTCTTGATTTTATTAATTTTGACTGTCTGGAGTGCACAAAGCTATAATTGAACCTCCCCAGCATCCTCACACCAGAGGAAACTTCCTTTACGTAGGTGAGCTGTTGGAAACACGTAGGTGAATAAACGGTGGGAACCAACAAGGGAGACAACAGGGACAGTTTTGGGTTGCTGCAGACATTAACTACAAGCCCTGGAAACTGCTGCTGGAGCCCAAATGGCTCTTTATGGGCTCCTCGTTTGCAGTGGCTCATGGTTAACAGCACATGGTGCTCCCCAGGGCAGGATGGGGCCTGTTCTCCTCTCCAGGAGGCTCCTTGCCACTGGTGGGGGTGCAGATGCCCCCAGAGGGAGGTGGCCACCGGTGGCTCCTGGCTCAAAGATGCCATGTGGAGTTGATTCTCTAACACTTCCCACAGGCAGGCAGCAGGTTTGTGCCAAGTGGTGACATTAAATGCATTAAACACTGCCCACGCACCAGCTGAGGGACCCCAGTGGCTTCCAGGAGAGGGCTTTGCACCCAGGGAAGCAACCCAGGGGTCTCTGCCAACTCAGGCACTGGGTCAGGCTGGGGACAGCGAGGGTCAGAGCGACCTTTGCATCCAGTGCTGCACCTCAGGTCGTGGCTAATGCCCCTTCCTGGGGAAGGACTCCTGCCTGAGAGGGGCTCTTGGCCAAAATAGGAGGGATGGGGATAAACTCAGCAGTGGAAAGGAGCAACAAGAAAAGCCAGAATTATCCAAAGCCTTGTGCAATCAGTTCTTGTAAACCCTTGAAAGAAGAGGCAGAAATTGTGCTTGTGTGGGTTGTTTGGAGCAATGGAGTGGTGTTTCACCAGCCCCAAAAGATTTGTTGTGTGTCCACGTGTATGCCTGTGTGTCCCCATGTTCCCAAGGGGAAGCCACAGCCCTGGAGGGCCTGTCCTGGTCTCAGCTCTCTGGTTTAATGCTTGTGGAGCAGCAGTGTTGGGATCCCTTCCCTCTGCAGGGACACGGGTGCAGGCACTGCAGTCTCATCCTGGAAAAGGGGGTGTAAGTACTCCAGGTAGTAACTTCCCTTGTGCTAGTGCATCTCTTGGTGTCATCGTTGATCATTCTCTGAGGTTCCTCGTGTGCTTGTGCTGATGGAGGCTGGGGAGAAGAGGAAGGCCCATCGCTGGTCCCGTGGTGCTGTAGCAAGAGGAAACTCGAGTTTCTGACTCCTTGTTTGTGTTTCCTCAGCAGGGATTTGTATTTCCTTTTACTCCTTGGATAGCCCGTCCTCGAGGCCGGGCTGGGTGTTGTAAAGTCTGCAGAGCGGGGTGGTTGTGAGGAGTCTGGGCTGCCCAGACCTTAGTCCTGAAAATATTTTAGCGGAAGTCGTGAGCAACATCTGCAGAGATGAGGGAGAGAGAAAATGTGATGATTCACTTGGAGGACGCTGGATGGGACCAGCTGTAAATACAGCCATAAAACAAACTGCACAGTCTGCAGCAGCATCGCTCGTGCTTTTCTGGTACCCATTGTGCAGGAACACTCAGAGCAGCCCCTGCGGTC